ATGAATCCTTCGCTGCTTTTTTTAATCTCTCCTCTGTCCAGTTGCAGTGGGAGAGTGAGAGAGTGGCTTTGGTGGGTACCTGGCATCCAGCCAGGGTCAACCCACTACACCTACAAACAGTGCTGCAGTGTGGTGTGGGCGGCTTTTTGCAGAATAAATTACCTCAGGCAGACAAAATCTTAGTCTGGCACCTTTCCTTCTGCCCCCAGTGCTTTTCCTCCTGCATTCTTCCTGTTCAGCTTAGCCCAGAACAGAAGGTATTTTTTTCAAGTACCACAAAACAGAAGTGTTTATGTGATTCCTCAGCGAGATTAGTCTAGAAAAAGGGGGATATGAAGGATTTGGCAGAAATGTGTGTACATGAAGGCTGCTGACTTTTTTTTAATCCTTTTTCTGAATATTCCAATTTATGCTTCACGCTGAAGTGGTCAAGGATCAGCACCTGAAACGCTTACTCATTTGAGATGTGCAGGAGCTGCTACAACCTGGTGTGAATTAACCCCTTTAGCCTTAAATGAATACCCGTGTTTTGAAGACAGCTGAACATTTAGTTAAAATTTAAACATCTGGTTTCACAACTGAAACACACCACGACTGAATGTTGTGCTGTTGCCCAAGGTGCAGCTAAACACAGCTATTAGCAGAGCCTTGACCTTTTATAGCCAGTCTTCTGCTGGCAGGCACGGAGTTTACTTGTGTTGCTGGTCTCCTGCTGCCTCAGGTATTATCCCACTGTTGTTTTTACGTGTGTCCACAGTAGCTGTTGGCTGCAGGTGTGGGTGTGCTGGGCTGCTTGCCTGGGTGGGGTCCATCTGACTGGAGCACATGCAGGGGGTGGGGGGATGCAGTGTGGTCACAGTTGTCTTGGCAGCCTGGTAATTGTGCTGATTTCAACCATTTCCTACTCATTCCGTGTTCCTGCGACTTCAACAGAAAACGATCTGTGTTTTCCCGCTGTACTGTAACTTGTTTCTTCTCTGGGATTTCAGGAAAAAGGAGATATTGTATGTGTCCTGATATCAGTGTGCTTCCAGACCAGTTGTGTTTTGGCATAAGGTGGTTTTCTGCTGTTTTTAGGATGCACTGGCGCTTTTTATAATAGGATGTGCAACTAACCATCTCCATGAAACTGTTTTCTGGTGAATTAACTTCGCTTTTTATGCGATTTTTATCTCTCTAAGGCCATGTAGTGTTGAAAAGAATTCTGTCAGCATCAAGACAAACTTACTTTTATTAGGTTGCTGGTGAACAAAGCAGAGATAACTATAATATTTGTCTTCCACAGCTATGCTTGTGCTGTTGTGTAACACCACCCCCATATAAACATTAGACCTGTAGTGCTCTCAGTGTGGACTTCTAAGCTGATGCACAGAATTGTACAAGACAGGTGATGGAGATGTGTTTTTGTGAAAGGAGGGCTCATATCTTACAGGTGCTTTTGGAGGCAGATGGCCATTCTGAGGAGACTAAAAGGAAGAATGAACTTCCTTGCCACTTGTTCCCAAGGTGGCCTGACTCAGGTGTGAACTCAGAAAATTATCAGAAGATTCTCTTTACTATTTTGGAAAAGTTCATGAAAGCTTTTGGACTTCTGATTCTTCCCTTTTTTTTTTTTTTTTTAAATAGAAAATTGATATCCTTAAATTTTCTATAAAATCTTTAGTATTTGAGGATTTCAGAAGAATGACAAATACTGGAGAAAAAAATAGAATCTCGTAATATCCTTATTTTGTAGAGTGGGAAAACAGAGGCACAACAAACTAACTGAACTCGTGGCTTTACCACAAAGCATGGAGTAGATGCAGAAATAATGCTGAAGATAATTTACTGAGATTCCATTAAAAAATTGACTTGCCTGTAAGCAAAGGATGGTGCTGCTGTTGTAACTGCTCATCTAAAATGGTACCTGATCTTGGAACAGATATTCATAATCCTGAGGAATGGGAGTTGGGTCAAGGAATTACGTCCTACAGTGCTGTCCTTCTCAGTAAACCTGCCAGTTCTTTTTGTCTTTGATCATGAGCTCATTTTGTGTATATTACATAGGAAATAGAAGTCAGAGAGATGGATGACTTCAATCAAACTTAATGATGACAGCTTAATTCCTGAGCATGGCAGCTTGTTTATATATACACGTATAGACACATTTAGGAAAAAAAAATTAAAATTTGGTTTTGTGTTTTAGAGCCCCTACCTCGTGCTTCTCATTTTCCAGCTACAAGGGAAATTGTCAAAATAAGAAATGACTTTGGGCTTTTTGTCTCAGCTCTCTCCTCTTTGGTGCTTTGGACTGATGCTGTGCAATGTCCTTCTCTGCCAATTTTATTTGCTGTCAAGTCAGTATTTACCATGACATTAAAGCAACAGCAGGTTCTACCTGATGTGCTTGAATGGGAATTTTTGGAAAGCAATGCGTGTAAGAAAGCAAAGTTCTTTTCAAATTAGTCACAGTCTCCTTTGCATTTAAGCAAAACCAGAGCCTGCTTTCCATTCTCGCTTTCCAGTGTGAACACCCAAGTTTTCCAAGGGATGATCTCCTGTGAGGGCACAGGAAACCCAGGAGAACTTGCTACTGACAGAATCCTAAGGATTTTTCATCTGGATGAAAAGATTTTTGTACCTTGACAGAAAATCAATGCTTTCTCATTCTTATTAGGCCTGCAGCAACATCAACAATAGACATCCCTGCACCAGGGAGAACTTCATTTAAAGTTCCCATCGTTGCAGCCGTATTGCTGCTAGGAAATCTCGGCATTCCTCATTCAGATGAGGTTCCCTTAGTCCTCCTTGTGCTAACAGCATCAGGATGTCTCATGAAGGGCAGGTTCCCATGGTCAGATTTGTTGCTAACTCTTTAAATTATATCGGCTTTGAAAAAACTGGCCTCTGTTTGAAGGATGACTGTGGGAAAACAGCTTTGTCAGTGCTAAATCTTTTGGCATTTCCAGCACCTGTACACCTGCAGGAACGGTAAATACAGTGATTTGCATTGTCAGAGTCCTAGTATAACACAGCAGACTATCCTCTCTTGTGTGTTTTGGCAAAACACATTTGTTACCACTGGGAAATCTTTTGTTTGTACTTGAAGTGCTGAGGAGTAATAGACTAATTTGGAAATTGTTTGAGTAGGAATGTTCTTGTTTGCACACCTGAGCCTATCACAAAGGCATCCTCATTATAGTTTGAATGCTAGCACATGACAGCTATTGACAATTAAAAGTAGGAAGGGGAGGGAGAGATTACGGAGAGGGTGTCTCTTTTAAAAGAAAGCATAATTCAGCTTCTGCTGCCTTCAAAGCACTTCCTTGGAGAGTAGCTTGATACTTTTTGTGTCTGACCCAGCAGTCTGAGCACCATGAGACTGAAGCAGCAAAGAATCAGGCTGTGGTACAGTTTCTTAAAAGATGAAGGGAAGAACAGGCGGCCCTTGAAGAACCCTGGCGTTTAGAATACGTAAGGCCTCTGAAAATTGGCAAGAAGCTGAAGTGAATTACCAAGCAGAGCTAGGGACCAACATAAACTAACAAGTCTAAATGCAAGCCTGAATTTATCAGCTGAAGCCAGGCACATGTGAGAGTGTGTGTGAATTTCTTGCTAAAAGCAGAGAGGGAGAGCGGGTGATATATTGCTTTGACGCTATTTAAGAGAAAATAGTCGCAATCCATATCATTTTGCTGTCAAATGTGTTTGAAAAATAGAAAACATGTTGGATATATGTACTGCAAATAGTTATCAACAGTGTTCCAGAAGTATTTGGTTTAGTGGGTTCTTTAGAATTCATCATTCAAATCCTACGTGTCTTGAGTTATCTTGAAATTGGCTGTTGTTCTGTGACTGTGCTAGAGTGAGAGCATGGCAGAGGTGAACTGTAGCCCGTCGAGGCCTGTGATGCTGCTGTTCTCAGTGGAGAGACTCTTCCAAAGGGCTGAGTTCAGTCTGCAAAAACGAGTGTTTAGCTGGGGTTTTAGAGGCACTTACCTCTCTGTGAGCTGTGGAAGGCTAAATTTAGTCCGTTGTCCTTTGAACACCCCTTATGCACTGGAACACTTTGGCAAACCCTGATTCCAGGAAGGGATGTACCTTTTACCTCTCAGCCTGATGATTGCAGTTGCACAAATGAAGACTGCCAAGAAGGGTTCCAGATGCTGATTGTTGCCCATGGTATGGTTTTAAGGAAATTTGTTGCATCCTTTTGAGCCCACTGAACAAAAGCTGTAAAACCACCGGCGCAGAAGTGTCAAATATCCAGGTTTTCTTTTTGCAGTCCTGCTGTATGAGGGAAGCTCCTCATAATTGCAGGAAGAAGCGAGAAACTTCAGGGTCAGGTAGCTCATCACCTCTAACTGATGCTTTAGGGGAACAAAAAGTAGCAGGAGAGTGAAGTGCAGAGCTGTGGCAAATTTGTCTCGGGGCAGCAGTGAAGAGCTGCTGGATGAAAGCAAAATATGGCCCGTTTGCCTGGGAGCCTCTTGGAGGCTCGAGGGTGTGATTGGTGCTCTAAAAATGTGGATTGTTACTGTGTGCTATTATAGAAGGAGTGAGCTCAGTAAGTGTTAGAGCAAGCAGTTGTGACAACTAGAGTTACAGGGTGGGCTATTAGGGCCCCTCTTATGTTCAGTTATCTTGTATTTGTGATTATTACTGCTGGTGATGGACAGTGATGTAAAGGTTCGTCTTCACAGCAGAAATTTTTCTCTGATAATCCTCTTCACAGCTTTTTGTCACAGCCATACTTTGCTTCCTCACAGATGCCTTTTTCTTCTTCTTCTTCTTCTGTTTTTAAACCTAAATAATCTTACTGTTGCCATGCACATGTTGTTGAGTTTCAGAATTGGAGCAAGCCCATAGCTGACTCCCACACCAAGCCCCCGGCTTTCAGCAACCTGGTTATCCCATTTGGTTTTCAAATGCCATCTCATCTCACTGAAAAGCTCAGTGCATCTCAAAAAATTGTTTAATTTTCTTTTTTTTTTTTTTTCTTTCTCCCCCTCCCCCCACAGAGCATGATGAATGTGGCAGTGGCCAGCACAACTGTGATGAGAATGCAATCTGTACTAACACTGTCAGGGGGCACAGCTGCACCTGCAAACCTGGCTACGTGGGGAACGGGACCATCTGCCGAGGTAAGTCTGTTGTTTGAGAGACACCATAAACGTGTCAGGCTCTGTTACTGTTTTCTGACAGTCCACCTGCATTGTGGTAACTTGTGATTGCCGGATCCTGCAGTGATTTGCTTTAAGGCTCATCGTCTGGCAAACAGAGCACGCGTGGAGATGGTGGGAATTGATTTGTGTGTAACTTCTTAGCAAGAAGGAAGTATTTTTGGAGTGGTAGAAGAAGAGAACTTTTTATTTACTACACTGAATACTGTCATTTGAGCTAGTGTAATTCAGCTTTTAAGTGGTGTTTGTGTTTTATAAACTGTGGGCGACGTGCTGTCACCTTTGGCTTTTAAATTTTAATGACACACATTTCAAGTTAGGATGATTGTCTTTTATGCTGACATCATATGGTTGTTATTTGACTACTTGCATCAGAATCGTGATTTTTTTTTATTTTTTATTTTTACAAATAAATCTTTAAATGTGTATTTTGAAGACTTCTCAGTTATGTAGAAAAGAAATATTGATAGCCAGCCATGCTTTCTGTGAAGTGGTAGATCATTTATTTAGGGTGGGTTTTATGTTTTTCTTTCAGTAGAGAAAGAGAAGGAAATGTCTCATATAAGGACAAAGGAGGGAATATATTAAAAAGTTGGATTAGTGAGGGCTATGTCTTGAAATACTACTGAGTTCTAACTCGTGCATTTAGGAATTACACTTGTCTCATAAAAAGCTATATATTGTCTTGTCTGGGGTTTCATACTTTCTGGTTTTCTAAACAGAATTACAGTAATAGGAATATAACTTTTAGGGTTTTATTTTATTTTATTTTATTTTTGAAGTGACAACTGTTGAAACTGAGGAACACACTGGATAAAATGTTCTGTACAGTTCAGGGCATGAGAGGCTGGATATTAATTTTTCAGACTGTGGTAAATTGGCCAAGCAATTCCTTAAAGGCAGATTGATACCATTCCTGTTTCAAGCTAAAGTCCTTCAGCAAGATCAGCTGCTGAATTAGCCTATGCCATCAGACTGGGTTTTGATAAGACTTTCTTTGGGTGCTTTCCAACTACACAAGAGCATCCTCCTGTTTAAAACTAAAATGGTTTGTAAGGATTTAGGAAGGAAGAGAAAAATACTGTGAATGTGTTGGGCAAGTTAAACCTCAGTGTGTCTGTGTTGAGGGCTGACAGGTGATACCAGGGAGAAACTCACTGCAGTGTGTTTTCAGCCCTTGGTTACAGTAAATGTAAATTGCAGCACAGACAAGTGTAGTTTCAGGGAAGTCTGAGTATTAAACAACCTGACATTATTATTATAGTTATTATTATAGTTATATTATCCATAGGTATTATTGTTATTAATAATAATTTGAAACAGTGATATTTGGATAAGTTAATAAAATCTGTGTTCTTACACCGGTTTTCTTCATTTGCATACCTGGATATTTGGTTTAGTGTGCAAAAAGCTCCTACTGCATATTTATTAACTTAGTGATATTGTAGTAATGAAATTTCACTGGAGAGATGCCATAATATTTTTAATCTCAAAGTCCTGTTGAAATCTGAGTTTCTGCAATATATATCTTTATATATAAAAATATCGCATATTGTTTATGTATATATTTTTAGTGTGCCTTGAGTTGCACGTGCAAATGTAGTTATGGTTGCCTTTTTGAGATGGATTTACATGGCAAATAGAGGAAATTTTGTTCTTATGTTCTGACTGAGAACCATAAATTGGAAAGAAAACTAGAGATTATAGAAAGGGGTTTGCAGTCTAATAATTACTAAAGTCACTAGGGATAGGAATAATCCAGCACTGCATGGAATAGTCATTACAGCAAACCAGGTAGTGTCAGAATTGTCTGCATTTCAGTAAATCATAAAACACACAGTGCAAAGTACTGGTTTGAATTTCTCAGCCTGTGGTTCTGTGGTTACTTGGGGTTTTCACGAGCTTGGATGCTAATCAAAGAAACGTTCCCATTCTGCCCCTGGTAGTACCAGAAACACTTCTTTTACATCTTTTCTTTTTTTTTTTTTTTAAACCAAGTTTAACAGTGGTACATTATCAGTTACCTGTCACAGCTGTTGGCATAAGGGAAAAGGGTGTGAACACGTCAGGACAACTATAAAATGCTTGTATTGGCTTGTAGTATTTTAGGGCTTTATCTTCAGGCAATACAGATTGGAAAAAAACATAGATATATAAGTCAAGGTGATGCACCATCTGGAGATAAGATAAATGTTTCTGTTCTCCTTGAGACATCTGTAAGTGCTTTATAAATGTTTGCATGTTATAGATGTGTGCACACACAAAACAGTTGTTCCCACCACTAGTGGAATAAAACATCTCTGTAGTACAGTAGGAAATCATATTAGTATTGTCCAGCCAAACCATAAAGAGAAAAATGATGGTTTTATGATGAGAAAAAAAGAACTGGCTTTGTGCATGATTCTGCAGTCTATTTCAACAATCTGTGTTGTAAAAATGTGAAATCAGAGTAATGATCTTCTTTGGCTTTAGTGAATAACACTGTGATAGTATTTATAAAAAAGACCCCGCAGAATCCTGTTATTTGTGTTTTAGAAAAGAAAATGGGTAGCTGAATCAAACTGCATTGTGAACTACTGGTAAATATAATGTGATTACTCTGGCAGGAATTTGTGTTGTTTGCAATTTTTCGTGAAAAGTATGGAGAAATAAAGAGACAGAAATAGCATGGACATGGATATTATGGTTGCTGGGGAATTAGAAATAAAAACAAAACCCAAATGTTGAAGAGGAAACCAAATTTTTTTTTTTTTCCTGTATAATCTGGCTATCACATGTGTTGAGTAGCAAAAAATTTTGTGGATAAGGAATTGGGTTATTGTAAATGTAGTAGATTGGACTTGGTGATTAGGGACTGGATTGGGTCAGAGTAGATGTGGAAACTGTCATGAGGGAGGGTGATGGAAAAGGGCACAGACAGAGACCAAAGGCACTTTTGCATTAAGAGAGATGCTGCCAGAATTTTAAGAGACACCAAAATGGGAAGAGAAGCAGAGATGAACACAATAAAATCTTTACAAATACATAGTTGTGAATACATAGACAATGAGGCCATAAAATAGAGACATATAATTAGAGAGATGGGCAGTATGACGTTTAACAAGGGCAGGGGCCATCACCCAATCACTATTGGTAAACTGCACAGAACAGTGAACCCAGAATCAGATTATATTTTAGGATTTCTTCAGAAAATGGTAAATACAATAAATAAATCAATCTTTTCTGGAAGAAGTTGCAACATCAAAGGCAGAGGAAAAAGGTATTGAATAAAGAGAGATTCTGAATCTGCAGTTTTGTTAAGTTGCTCTTTTCTGTGAATGAAACTTTGAAAAAAATCAAAAGAAGTAAGAGTGATTTAGGAGACAGAAAAGGTTGTAGGTGGGTAGTGGAAGACATGCCATGCCCTTTTATTGAATTCTGTAATGAACTACAGAAGCTGTAGGTGAGGGTAGAAAAAGGACAATTGGAGCAATTTCACTAAATTTCAGGATAGGATTTAAGAGTGCAGCATAAAGGCTGCATTTAGGGTGGAAGGAAAAGGTGATAAAAATTGGTTTAGCAACTGAATGTTCTAGTTTAAAAAAGTCGTGGTGGGCGAATGGCCACGTGGTGCAACGTGGCACTCTTAAGTGTACCTGTCAGGATGGACCTTGTGGGAAATCAGTGTTTAGTGGCAGTGGTTAGATGAAAGAAGTTTCAGTTTGCTGGGACAACCAGGTTTATGAGTAACCCATCACCTGTGGACAGGATTGTGTGTATGAAGGTAAAAACTCTATTGTCTATAAAATGAGTAAAACTCACTGTCACGGCTCTAGCTGAAGAACCAGGGACATCGAATACAGAGATAAATCTCACGTTTTGACTGTAGAAGATCTTGGTCTCTGTGTGCTGTTGCAGTGTTTCTGTGTGTAATCTTGACAGGGCTTGGATCTGGGAGGCTGGAAAACGCGTGGAGGGAAAATGTCTCTCTCTGATTTTTTTTGTCTTGATAAGTTCTAGTTCCACTTGGCAGACTTGCACCACGTGCTGTGGAAGTGACATGTTGGAGTCATACATGCCATTTGTTTAAAATATAAAAGGCTTTGTGCCCCACAGTCTGCTCTGCCTTAGTGAGAGGGAAGGTAGAGAGCACTTGCTGTGGGAGGTACAGTCTTACAGCTTAGCAGACTGAAGTCAAAGGAAAAAAAACCAAAACCATCGGGTTTCCTAAAATAATTGATGACATTTGGGATTAAATGCCTTAAAACAAACAAGTTCCCACCCACCAGATTTTGTCAGGAACAACATGCAAGTCGCCCTCAAGGTTTGGTGGTGATTCGTTGTTTTCTTTTGCACAGGGAGACCTAGATGTAGTGTGCAAGCCTTGTCCTAACTCTTGGTATTTTGTTCCAAATGTTTGTTTTAAAGCATAAATTCTGCCCACAGATGTCTTTGTATATTATCAGAAAAGTAGAAGTAGCCTTGAGTGTATTCAGAGGGTAAATGGGAGCAATTCTTTGGAAACATGGACAAGGTGTGTTTGTTAATCTTCTTCTCATGTACCTCTGTTGTGGAGAATGAACAGAAGTCTGGCACTTAATCAAATGCAAATAGTTTTCACTCTGCTTCTATGTTTTACATGTATAATCTGTCTAACAGGTATATTTAGTGTGCTATTAATAGCTCATTTAGTGGTGTCTACTGGGGTGTAGATTTATTACGATGATTAAATGAAGTGGATTTAGTTACAATCATAAACCTCAGAGCAAGTGTGTGCAATATGACTGATGCCTGGGCAGAGAAACACCAGGCATCGTGAAATAAAAATCAAAATAGTGTTTATTCTGATTAATATTCAGGTTGTATAATGGTTTATTTCTGCCAGAGTATAGACTGTGATTATTTTTTCCCTCTTATATTCTTCTGCAACATTACACAGGAGACACTTAAGGATTACAATCCAGTGTATGGGGGGAGTCTTA